GGGGGACTCCCACTCCACAGACTCCAGCTGATATGGTTCATAGCTGAGTGTTTGCAAAATAACAACTTGGTACATGCCATGGCCATCCCGGGTTGGCTGTAGAAAAATCAGAACAGCAATTGTTAAATCTGGAAATGCCAGGGATTTGCTGTGGGAACCTGGTTTCTGCACCTGAATGGTTTGATTAAGGGGATGAGAAACAAGAAAACAACATTAAATATTTCCAATCATCTTCAAATCCCTTTTCCTCTTACAGCCTCAGTTCTTCCACCTGGTAAGATAAGCAACAAACTGGAGAATCTCTAAGGAAGGGTGCTTCCAGCTCACTCAGTGCTGATCAGAGAGGTACATCCAATATGATGTGTTCAGAAGGGAGTCAGAGAGTATTTCCTGTAGGCGATGACTCTTGCTGCCAAAGAACGATCAGTTCAGAAGGATCAACGTAAGAGTGAGAATGCAAAAGGTCAGGTTGAGCCAGGGAGATACTGGAAGTGAGCTGATGGACCTGCAAAAGGAGAGGAAAATATATGCATACACAATAGAGTTCTCAGTGATGAGGGAATTGCTAAAATGGAGTGGGAATAACGGTGCCAGCCTCTGGGCTTTGGACCACTTTTGCAGACAGTGGGAGCCATGGCAGGTCCTAGAGGAGGGGACTGACTTCATGAGCGGTCCTCTCTCTCGTTCTCTCTCAGGTGCAGACACGCAGCGCCGATGAGCCCATGACTACCTTTGTCTTATGCAATGAATGTGGCAATCGCTGGAAGGTCTGTATGTTTATATCTTTCTTCCTCCTCTGTCATCCACAGACACTGCCTCACATCCAGAGTAGCATGCCCACAGCTCATGGGGGGGCTTGCCAGTCTGCACAGAGCAGGTCTGCAGAGCTGGAGATGGTGGTGGGTTGTTGTTGGGGAGGTGGGGACAGAGTGCATGTGTATGTGCATGTTTTTGTTTTGGAAAGCACTCAGCTGGGGTGGGGACAGCAACCCAGATTTTATCACAGGATGGGCAAGTCTATCATTTGAACACAGATGGAATCAGCCTCCTGAGATCCACAGAGGGGAGGGAAAACAATAGCGCTTTGCATGTGGACCACGCCTCTTTGCAAAGTGCTTCCACAGATGGTATTTCCTTTGAACCCGGCCACAGCCAGGGGTGAGAGGAGGGCTGAGCCTCCCAGATTGTCCTCCCTTCCTAAGGCAGCTCTGGAAAAGCCTTACATTATCCAAGGCTGTAACTCAGGCTGCCCCAGCTCTTGCAAAAGTAGCAATATTGTTTTCAGCCATGGGAGCCAAGCAAAGACTCCCCCAAGAGTGCTACTTCCTACCACGTCTTCTTCTGAAACAACCATACAAGATTAATGTCCATTTCCAGGACTATTTGATTTGCATGTGTGCTGTGTGATGTCTGGGCCACCAGTCAGGCTGCAGGTGCTCCAAAAGTTGTAAGGTACTTCACAAAGAGCACAACTGAGCGTGGGACTGGGAGTCGGGAGCCCTGGTTTCAGGTCTCCACTCTGCCCTACTTGCTGTGTGACCTTGAGCGTGTCACTCACCTCTCTGAGCGAAAGGATGATGATGATGTCTTTCTCCCATGGTTGATAGGAGGATTGTTATATATGCACACACTTTGCAAACAACTACGAAAAATGTTCCTTTATAGTATTACTCTTTTAGAAGAGGAAATTGAGCTACCAGAATAGTTAACAAGCATAAAGTCACAGAGTTTGGAGCACTGCAAGACAGTGCTGCGAATTCCTGATCCACTGAGTTTTTCTACAGCTTTACTAAGAGCCTTGACAGACCTGGGGCCTCATTAAGAACTGCTATTTTTTTAAGAGTAAAAAATCAGACGATTATGTGTTTTTCTTTTATTCACTTATTGAGCACTTAGGAGCCCAGTATAGTGGCTACTGGCTTAGAGCATGGGCTTTGGTATCAGGTTCAAATCCTAGCTTTATCACGTACAAAGGGACTTCACTAAGTGACCTGAACTCTCCAGGCCTGGATTTCCTCATCTATAAAATAGGGGTATCAGTGTCTAGCCCACAGAGCTGTTTTGAGGATCAGAAAAGGTAATACACATAAAGAATCAACAGGGCCTCTGATAGCTCAGATGGTATCTTTGTCAAATTAGAAAAAGGTGTCCTTGCCTCCAGGTGGACACAGCCTTGCACCAGGGTACAGAGCTTGGTAAACAGAGCAGGGGCTGAGCTTCAGCCCCTCTCTTTGGCCAGGCTCTCTTGTGCAGTGAACAACCTGTACAGTCGTACAAACAAAGCCCTGAGCACATATGTGCCAGGTACATAGAAACCACCGCTCTTATTATTCTGAGTTTGTTACATGTTGGCATTACGGGAGCTTGGGCGAGTCATTTAACCTAAGTTGCTTCTTTACCTGCGGAAAGGGAAGTGATGTAGTACCTGTCTCACAGGGCTACTGTGAGGATGAAATGAGTTAATGTATGTTAATACCACCTAGCCAAGAGTAAGTGCTCAATAAATGGTAGCTCTTGTGTTCCTATTGGGCAAAGGACATTCCACATGCTCCAAACCCAGCTCCTCCCTGATTCCTGCAGAGAAATTGAAATTTGGATGTCAGAGAGGCAAGGGCCCACTAGAGGTGGTAGCTACATGGCTTCTGACAAAATTTTCAGGTAGTGTACATTGCCATGTGGGGGGCCTAAAGTCTAACCAAGCTATTGGTAATAATCACAGTGATATTCCTGACCATAAATTGAGAGCCCACCACATGTCCAGCATTTCATTTCTATTTATTGCCTGATATCCTTTTCTCCACTGGTCGGCATTATGCTCCCATTTGACAGACGAGTGATTTGTTTGGGGTCACACCACTACTAATGGCAGAGCTGGGATTTGGACTCTGGTCTGTGTGGCTCCAGACCCCACCTTCCTTTTCATGTCTCCTCCACCTGCCCCTTGCTTCCTTGAGTGACGCAAAGAAAGATCTGAAATGTTGTTGCCTTTTTGGTTTTGTAGTTCTGCTGACAGAACCACCAGCCAGGATTGAACAAGGTGGGGAAGAACCAAGAAAAAGCACTAAGCCATCGTAACTGGAGAAAAATAAAAATTAAAATGAAGAAAAATACTGAACTCTGAATGGGGCATTAGGGATCAGAGGGAGAATTCTTTTGCAAACTAATCATCAGTTATTAATAGTGACTGGCCAGTAGGGGGAGGCTAATTGGGGTATGATGCTAAGTCCATGTTGACAAACATCTTGTAGAAACTCAGAGACTTCAGAGCCTTAGGGCTGAGGTGCCTTAGCTTTGACACTGGCTGGCAGACCTTTGCTTTGAGTCCCCTCCCTCACATCTGAACCTCTCAGCCTTTTCTGAGTTGAAAAACACCAGATCGGCTCAGATCCTGCCACCCACCCTGAGTCACACGTGCAGAACAGCTGGCACACAGTTTGGCTTAGGCAACTTTCACACCATGTAGGAAGATTTCTTCCATAGTCATCTCTTCCCAAACTCTCTGCTATTCCCTGTTCCAAGCTGGCTCCGGGGGCCTTTGAGGACTACAGACCTGGTCCCTCTAGGCAGGGGACATACTGTCTTGAGTTGAGGGTTTCTGAGGGAAGAGTACAGCGGTGCCTGAGTTCTGTGGCCCCTAGGAGGTCCTGAGCCTTGGAACCGGTCCAGGCCTGAGCAGTGTGTTCCTTTCGGCTCCATTGTGGCCGAGCTACAGAGGAAGTCTGCAGGGCACAAGGAGTCTTGTACTTCTCCCATGATGAAATCAGCTTGCTTTTTAAGCTGATAGGAACTTTAGGCAAAGCTGGAACCTTCTGGAAAAGCTTGGGAGCAAGTCTGGTGGGTCCGTCCTGGGTCTAAGTCTGTGACGTTCCCTGGCCTTCCAGCAGCCCCAGGCTGAACCTCCTGGATTCTGTTTCCTAAAACTACTAACACGTAGGAGCTTGTGAATTCCTGGGAGCTTGGGCAAGTCACTTCACCTCTCTGAGCCATTTCCTTAACCATAAAAATGGGAGTGGTACTAGCGACTAGGGTTTCCATCTGCCTTGGTTCACTCTTACGGTTGCTGTTGGGTTAACCTCAGCCCAAGTTTATGTGCCCTGGGCATCATCCACTCTGAAACTGGTTATCACCTTCCTCCTTCCACCTGCCTAGTGCCTCCTCCTATAGATGAAACTTGTAAATAAACTGTACAGAAACCTGCCACCATCTCCAGCTTTTCAGCAGTCAGATTTGGGGGCACATCCTTCAGAATAACTGAAAATCCTCTCACAGAAGAAACAACACACACATCTCACAAATGGCAGATCCAGGACCAAAACCCAGGTCTTCTGCTTCCTGCCATTGTGCTCGATGCTGTGAGAAGTCCAGGGCTGTACTCAGTGCTTGGTCCCTGCCTTCCAGGAATTCCTGGCCTGGCAGGGAAAGAAGCTACAGGCACAGACTTTCACACCAGATGGGATGTGATAAATGCCTGAGTATGAATATGACCCACAGAAGTGTGGAGGGATGTTGCTTAGATACCCAGGTGCTTCTTAAATTTTTAAGATGTGTAGGAATCCCTGGGGGATAATGTTAAAATGCAGATTCTGACTTAGTGGGTCTGGGAAGGGCTTGAGATTTTTCCATTTCTAACAAGCTCCCAGGTGATGCAATGCTGCTAGTCCACAGACCACACTCTAGTAGTAGTGGCTGAGAGATCAGATTTTCCTCTGCATCATCTAATCCTCTACCCAAATGTCTAGAAATCAAAAGCAGAACAGGAATAGCAACCACTATTAACACAGTAATGTCAATAAATGTTACCTTGTGGCTTTTTAAAGATGGCGCCCTGAGGCCATCTTTAGGCGTCAGGGTCTAAATATCCATTGTGCTTGCGGTGTCATAGGGATTTACAGCATTGGAAAAAATACAAAGCTGAATCTCCACCCTCAACAACCTTACAGTTTACAAAGGAGGTGAGTCAGATTAAACAACAGAAGAACAAGTTGGCTCCAGTTCGCACATCTGCACAGTACACACCTACATTCACAGAAGGACCCAGAAAAGCATGAATAGGCCTCAGACTGTGTTCATCCACAGGGGTTAATACCCTCCCAACTGGTCTTCCTGTGTCCACTCTGGACCCACTGACCAGAACAGGCTTTTCAAAATTGCAAATCTGATCACGTTACAGTCCCCAACTCTACCACCCCCATTTACAACCTTCCAATTTTTTCTCACTGCTCTTGGCAGGGTCTACGAGGCCCTGCAGGGCTGGCCTCTGCCACCCCCTGCTTTGTGCTCCAGCCACACTGGCCATGCTCTGCTCCTCCTTGTCACACAGTCTTCGCACATGCTGTTGGCTGGAACACGTGGTTTAACTCCATCTCCTCCTCCCTGTCAAAGATGAAGCGGGTGACAGTTACAAGGGAGTTAGCCTTAACTTCTACCATCCTGGCAGGCTCCCTAGGGAAAGGGAGATTGCTGCCTTACGGGAGGAAAAAGACATTAGGTGAGGTGAAACAGAGAAGCAACATGGTTCTCTCATATAGGAGGTAAGATCTCACCAGTATTGTAACCAAAAGACCTTGAAAAACAAAGAGTACAGTCAAGATCTTGTGACCAGCTTAGAAGATGATTTCAAATGTTACAGAAACCTGAAACACTATAGAGAAGTCTTTCTTAGTAGTCTCATCCAGACGAGTGAATTTCTGTCTTTAGCTCTGAGTTTTCTTGAGCTTGAGACATATTAAGTCACTAAGTACCCCACTGGCCTTTACAATACAGTTAATGACAAACTGAATTTACATCTTCTTTTTCTTAAATCCCCTCTTCTGTCTTTTCTGTCAACTAGTTCATTATTTAGAGCTATCTTTGACCCTTTCCTCTGGCTCTGCATTTTATCCGTTACCAGTTCTGTAGTCTCTCCCTTGCCCAATCCTTCTCTCCACTGGACAGGTGCAAAGGCCTTCTACTGGTCTCCCAACTCAAAGCACTCTCTGCCTTACCTGCAAGAGCCCTGTATGGCTCTGAGCATCCTTCCCCTGGTCATTCTCTGTAGACTTCCCCCAGTTATCCTGGGCTTGACTTTCAAAGCTCCCCTCCATCTGCCATCTGCCTGTCTTCAGTGGTTCATCTTCTACCCCTGATGCCCCTTCTGCTCCAGTCTAAGGTAGTTCTTTGTCCTGTTCTTGATAACAGACAATGGACCTTCCCAACTGTGACTGCCTATTCTAATTCCTCCTCCCTATCCCCAGTCCAAATCTTACCCATTCTTCATGGTTCACCTCAGATGCATGTCTTCTGGGAAGTCTTCTCTAATTCCCTGGCCACAAGAGATGGTTCCTCAGAACTCCGAGAGCGCTGTGCAACTCTAATAATTACACTGCATTCTACCATGATGATAATGATCATGATGATAATTTCCTTGTATGGCAGTGTCAATACTTATTAATTACTGAGCATTTCCTAGCTGGGGGTCTTGGGCACATTATGTAAATTCTTCATGCCTTCATTTTACAATCTGTAATATGTTGGTAATAATAGCATGGAGCTCAAAGGCTGGCTGTGAGGATTCATTAGAATCATGCCTGACACAAAGTACCTGATTAGTGAACGTTAGCTATTGTTGTGAGTATGGGGAGTACTTTATATTGTCTCGACTAACCCTCAGATCCCCCTGAACTAGGTTACTACTGTTATACTCTTTTTATTAGTGGTAAAATATACATAACATAAAATTTACTGTCTTAACCATGTTTAAGAGTACAAACAGTTCAGCAGTGTTAAGTACATTCACACTGTTGTGCAGCCAATCTCCAGAACTATTTTCATCTTGCAAAAATGAACTTCTGTACCTATTAAACAATTCCCCATTCCTCCCTCCCCCAGCCCCTGGCAAGCACTATTCTACTTTCTGGCTCTATAAATTATATTATTACTCTTTTCACAGACCAAGAAAACCAAAGTTCAGAGAGTAATTTGCTTCTAGCAGACAGAATCTGGACTCGAACCCAAGCCCCTGTTCATTCTGAGTCACCTGAAATACGGTTTCAGCTCACAGAGCATCTGTGATGCATTTTACTTCCCCCATAACCATCTTGGCCACTGTGTGCCAAGACCCTCCCTGTGCCCATGCATTTTGCAGCTATTCTCACATTTAATCCTCACGGCAGCCCTGCAGTCATCGTGAGGGGCGCAGTCCCTGGTACAGGACAGAGATGCAGTGAACATGTGCAGGGAATATAGGCCTATTTTGATGCCTTTAAATAAGTTAAACAACACTAAATAAGTTTGTTGCACATTTTTAATGAATTCTTTACATTTTTTGAAAATGCTGACTCTCTCTGGAGAAAACCAGCAGAAATGCACACGGTCATAAAGAGCCTCCGCATCCTCGCCACTCCCCTCTCCTCCCGCGGAGTCAGTCTGCTCTCCTCACCCCAGGCCACCCCCCACCTGTAACTCATCACCAGCGTTGCTGATCAGCAGCCAAAGGCAGAGACAAACAGGCAGGCAGGCAGGCAAAGGGACATACGAGACTGTCCCTGCTCTGCTTCCTCCCCCTGCCACTCCACCCCCACACTCTTCCCTCGAACTGTACCCAATCCTGGCCATTCTGGAACACGCTCTGTCCTTTTCACGCCTCCGTGACTTCGCACTTGCTGTTCTTGAAGACTGGAATGCTTTCCCTCCCCTCGTTCTCCACCTCCAAGACTCTTACAGTCTTTGTAAGCCAGCTCCGATGTCATCTCCTCTGTGAAGACTCCTCCCTGCCCCCCAATCGTGAGTCCGCCGTCCTCCGCGCAGCCTAGCTAGCCCATCCGGAAGACTCCAGCAGCTGGACTGCAGTGACTGTAAGTCAGTGCGTCGCCCATGTCCCCGGGCCCTTGTGCTGTGAAGAGGCTTCATCTCTGCCCCTAGCGGGGGTCAAAAGAAGCCCAGATCACCGATTCTTATTTTTTTTTTAATGTTCCTGGCATATTTAAAAATGAACAGATAACCAAACAAGATCACATATATTGAGGCATATTTTTCAATGTCTAACAAATGAGTGCTTCTAAGTCAAAAAGTTATAATTGTGCTGCTCACAAGATAATTGCAGGATTTATTAAAATATAATAATTTATAGTGCGCCACAGGCACAGTGGTCTGTTAACAAGAAACAGACTTCAGGATACACAAGGAGGCTCTTTGATCAGATTGGTCAGTGGATCTGACATAGTGTAAAACCCCATTTGGAGATAATGTCAAATGCCTAAATTGGAGACCCTGGCAAAATGGTACTCCTGGCCCCTTCTCCCAGTGATAGGCTGTGCTGCTGCCTCGGCACACAGTTGATGCTCACTGTTTGCTGAATAACAGGAACAAATAAGCTCTCCAAGTTGGCTATTGAAAACCCACAGGCAATAAGTGTTTCTGAGAAACAATAAAGTTCTGAACAATGCCGCAGGAAGCCACCTCCTCCTCCAGTGACCCCAACCCTCAGAATCCAGCTGAAGGCTGCAACAGGAAGCCCCTCACCCACTTGTCTTTCCTCCCCCTCTTCCCCACTCCTCCCACCCCCCACCCAGGGGCACCAAATGGACTCATGCTTTCATCCGCTCTCACCCCTCTTCTCCACCCTCTGGAGGGTCCCAGGTGAAGAAAGAGAAAAGTACTTACTCACAGTAGGAGGCAAGCAGCCAAGCTGGGCTTGGAGAGTCGTCCTGCCCCCAGGCAGGCCTGAAGAATGAAACAGCGAGAGGACAAAGAAGGTCTTAAAGCACTGGAGCAAGGGGGAAGAAAAGGCCTAAGAAAGTTTACAAAGCAATCTGTCAGAGAAGGGATGAAAAGGGAGCCCCACTGAGCTGAGGGGCTCAGGCACTCACCTCACCTTCGGCCCAGTTAGAAACCTGCCGTTACTGAGCCGATGTCTGAACCGATCCCCTCCTCCTTGTCCCAGAGGTTTCCCTGAGTGTGAGGCCTCACCTCACTGGGTTTTTGGTAGCCCCAAATACCTGTGCTTCACTGGGCTTAATACACCAGTTCTCTTGAACCCACCGAACTGGCTTAACTTCCAGTTCCCTCTGGATTTTCAGCAGAAACACTGTGGATAAAGTCACCGGCAGATCCTCAAAGCCATGGAGCCACTCTGACTTCCTAGATTTTCTGAGCCAGTAAAATAATCACAGGCCTTTCTGAAAGTCTTCCCTGCCACCAAAGGCAGCATTAATAATAATACCAACTATCACCTGCGCGCTCACCCTGTGTGAAGTGTGTTAAATCATCTCATTGCTAAATCACCTCCCCCTTAGGTATGATTACTCAATTTTACAGAAAGGGAAATGGGCCTGGAGAGATTAAATGACTTTCCAAAGGATACACAGCCTGGATTCCAACACAGGTCTGTCTGACCTTGATGCCTACATCTTTCCTACTCAGGACACTGCCTGTTGGGGACCCTCTATGATTCTATTTTTTGTGGTTCCCATATCAATTTTAGATGGGGTAATATGGTACAAATCTGTGTTATCTAAAAAATTCCTCGCATCACAATTGTGAGTGAGAAGAGGAGTGGGAGTGGGAGTCAGCCTCACGGCTGGGTAGGATCCTAGCTCTTTTTAGACACTTGAGTAATTTAACCATAAATAACTGGGCACTGGGAACAAGACACTTATTAATAAAAGCATAGCCTAGAGGCACATTTGAAGAAAAAAATTCAAGTCACTTGGTGGGTGGACATATCTGCAAAACAAAAGAAAAACCCCTTTCCCAGCCCAGGCAGAGAAGTCTCCTGTACAGTTAGAGACAACAGGCTTCTGGGCACGTAGCCAAGGTTCTGGGGATATTTATAACTTGAAGAGGGTGGGAGTCCCTAATAAGCTGTTATATTCTTTTTCCATCACTTCCCTCTCCAAGGCTACAGCAAGCTCAGAGCTCTTCCCCACGCAGAATGCCTGCCTTCCCTAGTTCTTGGCTTCCATTGTCTAATTTTCTCATCCTGGCTGGGGAAAGGGAAGGCTGCAAGTCCTTCCGTTCGGAAGAAGTCCAGTTGAATGCAGCTTAGCTGCTGGTGGTATTTCTTGGCTAGCTGCTGTGGTCTCAGGGATCTGCCTAGCCTGTGGTTTCTCTGAGCTGCCTGAAAGTCTGAGGTCTCGGGAATCTGTGAGTCTTTGGGATCCGCCTACGATCTCTGGGCTGTGCCTGCACGGCTACGAATTCGAGATCTACCCGCGGGTCTGAGATATCCAGGATCTGCCAGTGATCCCTAGAATCTTTCCGAACGTCTTAAGTCTCAGAAAACTGTCTGCGGATTTGGAATCTATTTGAGGACTCTGATCCTGGAGCCGGTGAGCTAACGGATCTTTTGAGGGCCAAGCGAGAGGTAAGTCTGTTCGTTACTAATTCGGGTTTTCGGCTTCCTACCTTCAGCGGGTCAGGCACTGCTAACATCCTGAGGGTCTGCGGGGCTCAGGCCGTGAGAGGTCCCCTCATCCCATCCGTGCGGGAGGCCGCAAAGAACCCTTTTAGCAGGCATGCCCTCCGGGACGGTAGGACGGCCCTTCCCAACCCTGGGGCCTGGCTCGCTCAATCCTCCACCCTCGCTTCTGATTTCCCTCAGAGTTTTGGCTTCCCCTTCGCTAGGCGCAACTCAGCCCGCCCCTCACCGGGGGCCCTTTTAGAGGGACGCGATCCGACGCCCCTACAGGGTTAACAGCGATGGATCCGGGACACAGCTTGGCCCAGCCGCGGACTACACTCGCTCGGGTACGGGCGGCGCGGTGTCTCCTGGGAGTTGTAGTCTGCGCAGCAGTGTGCGAATGCCGCAGGCGCTTCTGGGAGATGTAGTGCGTGGGTGGAGCTCAAAGTTCCAGCGCGGTCGCTGAGTCTTCTCTGGGGAGTGGGCGGCTGCTCCTTTCCTCTCGGGCCCGGGATGTCAAATGAGAACTAATCCTGGCGGAACCCAATACAAGCCAGCGCCTAAATTAGGCTCGACGTCGCAGTTAAGGTCTGACTCAAGATAAGCTTCTAGGGACGTGAGGATAAGCAAGCCAACCTCCCTGGCTTAATCGGGCTGTGGTCTCCAAGAGAAGAAAGCAGAAGATACTCTGCCCTGGCTAGGAAGACGTGTTTCTTCCTTCAGCCTTTTGTTCTTTTCCCTCCATGGCTTTTGGCCTCTTGACTGGCCTTTGTACGCCTGGATGGAACTCCAACTCCCGGCAGGCCACGGGGGCAGGCGCAGACGTGATAGAGGTGCCCAGCCGTCCAGCAAGAGGCGGGTCTAGTGTTCCACATTTAATTGGCCGAGCGTTTTGCGAGCTTCGCTCGCTGATTGGCTGAGGCAGCTGCCGGAAAGGGCCCAGCCTCGAGATGGAAGAGCAGAGGCGTTCTGTGGGCTGGGCTGAGAGCCTCCTCCCTGAGACAGCATCGGCTTGACCCCCAGCCCGGGAGGGACCGAGCCAGGGGGCTGTCTTAGTAAATTCTGGCATTGCCTCCACCCCATGGTGGCGGAGACACAGAGGGCGGGTCACGCCCAAGGGTCAGGGAGGAGAGTGACCCGGCCCGGGCTCAGGGCCCTCCCTACCCGCCTGGAGGCCAGAACTCCAGCCCTGGGGAGTGGGCAGGGCCTGTTTTCTGTGCCTCACGCCCTGCTTTTCGCCTCCTTTAGCGCTGTCTGCTAGCTGCTTTTCCTGCTCTCTCTCTTCTGGGAGGCGAATCCTTGAGCCCGAGATGGCAGCCACCCTGCTCATGGCTGGGTCCCAGGTAAGCCGGGGGTGGCTTCTCGGACCCTGCCTATGCTTACCCACCTCGTCCCTGCGTTTGTTTGCTCTGCAAATCCCTGTGGGAAATTTCCTGGGATTAGTAATTAGCTTGCTTCGGTATTCTGCCTCCAGAGACCCAGTACCATGACAGTGTAGCCACAAACAAACATTTATTGAACACCTGCTGTTTGCCTTTAAATACTGGGGAGACAATAGATGGATGAAACGTAGGGAGACAGACGCATTTGGTTAACCGTGATACTACGTGTTAAGAGCACTATTTGCTGTAGGAGCAAAATGCTGTGGGAACCAAGAAGTGGGAGTGATTAATTCTATCTGAGGTGTGGGAGGGAGGAGTGGAACAAAGCAGAGGGATGGGGGCCACTGAGGAACAGCTGGTGCTGGAACAGGGCCTTAAAGAATAGTAGGATTTCACTAGTCTGAGAAAGATATTTGAAGAAAAGAGGAACATCGTGAGTAAAAGTATGGAATGATGTAGGTGCTGGATGTGTTCTGAGAGAAGGACTGCTAGAGGATAAGGTTCAGAGTCGGACAGGGATATCTGGAACCAAAGCAATAAGTTCATAAATTGCTTTCTTCTTTACCACATCTCTTTGTTGCTTGTTTATTTCTCCTTTGGACTCTACGTATCAGACCTAACACCTTTGCCTCCTTAACAATTCTAGCCATGTCTCTAATCTCAAGAAGAAAAACTGGTACTAACCTCCTAGATACCAAGTATTGAGGAAGCAATGTGTGATTTCAGGCACCTGTAACATTTGAAGATATGGCCATGTACCTCACCCGGGAAGAATGGAGACCTCTGGACCCTACACAAAGGGACCTTTACAGGGATGTTATGCAGGAGAATTATGGAAATGTTGTCTCATTAGGTAAGGATTCTCTGTCTTTCTTCACCCCACGTATTTCAGACTGTCAAAAATGCCTTAGCTCTTTCAAAGGAACCTAGTTACTTGATTTTTAAAGCACTTAATTGGATTTTGGCTTGAGTTGAGTCCTCAGGCAGATCTTTCAGTGAGGGAGTATCAAGGTCATATTGTCTGAAAAGAAAGATCATTTCTGCACATTTTAAAAACACTCAGATTTCTTGTGCCCTGAGTCATTTGCCATTCTCCAGCCTGTTTGTACAGATCACTGACCAAACAGGTCTAACATAATAGTGCTTGCCAGGATATAAATGCCCCTGTAAATGATGCTTTTACTAGAAGATGAGGGGGTTCCGATCCAGGTTCACGGGAAGGCAAAAGCCAGTTTTTTTGTTTGTTTTGGCTTCAGAGCCCTAGCTTTGCCTCAGATCCTTTATTTATCCAGAGTAGGTACTTGTATGGAGACATTTCAGAGTTGATCATAGATTTTGAGTGTGTCAGATGTTGTTCCAGGAAAATTCTGAACTAAATGAGATCACAAATTCTATTAGAGAAGCTAATTTTTTTGGTGGTCTGCAAACCTGTCTTTTAGCTATCGTTTGGTCTGGGTGTAACTGGAATAAACCGTATATTCTTGAGCTGAGTAGTCTTTTGACTCACGTTGTCTCCTGTTAGGACTTGACAGAAGTTAACAACCATATATGGTTCACTAGGTCATCTGCCATTCATTAGGATTAAGCCTTTTTCTGAAATTTTTATTCCTATTGCTTTTAACAAGCAAAAGGCAACTGGGAAGGGTTTCCTTTTTAACTTGGGCTCTCTCTGATGTCTCAGCTTCCTTCTTTTTGACAAGCAACTAGAAATGAAGTTATCCACCCAGATCTATTGTAGTCAGTAACCCAAATATTCCACTCAATCCAATAAAACAAGAAATGAGAATCTTAAAGAAGTGTGAATTTATATGTCTATGGTCCAGCCCAAGGAGCACTTGTTGGAAAGATGGAAGAGTTGAAGCACCAAAAAAAAAAAAAAAAAGTCTTGCCCAAATAAGTTTGGGAGTAGGTTAAATAATGTTTACAAGGCTTCCTTACCTCAAGACCCTTCAAAACCTTTAATGTGGTATCAGGCATTTTGAATTTCTAAGAAGATGATGTTTATACCGTTTACCAAACTAATTTATCCACAGACCTTTTTCTCCTAGCATACCTAGTAACCTTTTTTGAAGAATATACCAAGAAATATCACTTCAAAAAAGGAGTATCTGGTTGAAGGTTTCTTATAGATAGTGGTTTTATATATTTTCATTTTCATTTAAAGATTTTACACCTAGTCAATGCCAAGAATGTTCTGAGCCAGGCATCTTTTTTGCCTTCTCCAACCTTCCCACTTCTCTTTTCATTAAAAGGCTACTGGAAAGCAGCAAGTAACATTTGGCAGTCATTTTTCCTGTCAACTGAGACTTGACATAGATAGATAAAAATTTGGTTTCTCCATGCCAACTCAGTAGGTTCTTAGTAAATATTACATAATTGTTATGATGAAGGCTTGACAAGTTAAGAACATAAACATGCACACATGCATTCACATATAAAATACTTAGGCTCTTGACTTTTAGAAATTATGATTTAGAGTCTCTTACGTTTTCTGTTTCTGGTTGTTTTCTTTTTTTGAAACAACAGAAACATAGGCAATTTTCATAAAGAACCGTTGACTAGTGATGCAGAACATGAACTTTTATCAGACAGATCTGGCTTTGAATCTTAGCTTCACCATTTACTACTGTACAACCTTTTGCAAGTCACTTCTGTGGGCCTTTCTTCATAAAGAAGAAATCATCATAATGCCTGACTCTTGGGTTGGTTGAGGTAACTTATATAAAGAACTTAGCACAGTGCCTGGCACACAGCAGATGTTTTTTGTGTGTGTTCTCCAGTATTATTTTTTACCCTTTATTACAGATTTTGAAATCAGGAGTGATAACGAGGTGAATCCAAAACAAGAGATTAGTGAAGATGTAGAATTTGGGACTGCATCTGAAAGACCTGTTGGTAATACTGCGGAAAATCCTGAAAGTGAAGAGGCTTTTGAAGACAGGGATAGATCAGAAGGACAATGGGGAGATTTAACAGCAGATGACTGGGTAAGCTATCCTCTCCAACAAGTCACCGATCTGCTTGTCCACAAAGAAGTCCACACAAGCATCCGATATCATATATGTTCTCATTGTGGAAAGGCCTTTAGTCAGATCTCAGACCTTAATCGACATCAGAAAACCCACACTGGTGACAGACCCTATAAGTGTTATGAATGTGGAAAGGGCTTCAGTCGGAGTTCCCACCTTATTCAGCATCAAAGGACGCACACTGGGGAGAGGCCCTATGACTGTAATGAGTGTGGGAAAAGTTTTGGAAGAAGCTCTCACCTCATTCAGCATCAGACAATCCACACTGGAGAAAAGCCCCACAAATGTAATGAGTGTGGGAAAAGTTTCTGCCGGCTGTCTCACCTAATCCAGCACCAGAGGACCCACAGTGGGGAAAAGCCCTATGAGTGTGAGGAGTGTGGGAAAAGCTTCAGCCGGAGCTCTCACCTAGCACAGCACCAGAGGACCCACACAGGTGAGAAGCCGTACGAATGTAATGAATGTGGACGAGGCTTCAGTGAGAGATCTGACCTCATCAAACACTATCGCGTCCACACCGGGGAGAGGCCCTACAAATGTGATGAGTGTGGGAAGAATTTCAGTCAGAACTCGGACCTTGTGCGCCATCGTAGAGCCCACACGGGGGAAAAACCGTACCACTGCAATGAATGTGGGGAGAACTTCAGCCGCATCTCACACTTGGTTCAGCATCAGAGAACACATACCGGGGAAAAGCCATATGAATGTAATGCTTGTGGGAAAAGCTTCAGCCGGAGCTCTCATCTCATCACACATCAGAAAATTCATACTGGAGAGAAGCCCTATGAGTGCAACGAGTGTTGGAGAAGCTTTGGTGAAAGGTCAGATCTAATTAAACACCAGAGAACCCACACCGGAGAGAAACCCTATGAGTGTGTGCAGTGTGGAAAAGGTTTCACCCAGAGCTCCAACCTCATCACACATCAAAGAGTTCATACAGGAGAGAAACCGTATGAATGTACCGAATGTGAGAAGAGTTTCAGCCGGAGCTCAGCTCTTATTAAACATAAGAGAGTTCACACTGACTAAGTCCTGTGATTATGACTGAGAAGTGATTCATTTGAAGGTACAATTTTATTTGATATCAAAGAGCTCTCTCAAGACTGAGCTGCTTTTATCATACGGAATTTCCTCGTTGCGGGCCACAGTTTACGACATCAAAGAAGACAAGCCACTTGAAATCCTGACCCATGGCTTTAAGAACGTTATTCCCCCCTCCAGAATAGTGATTTTTAAAAATCACTCAATATTAATTAATTACGTCATCAAAATCAGTCCCACAAGTAACTGAAAATCTAAAGACCAGGTGATAAATCCTGGTAAATGCTCAGGCCTGGAAATGGAGTAAATCTTTAAAAGTAATTTCTCCCATCCTTGGCCCAAAGAACTATGCTAGGGGAAATGTTGGACTGTGATAGGGTGCTCACAGCTGTTTTGGAAAAAGACAGCCAGAGACTGCCTGAATTGCCACACCTATTGACTCACTGTAGTAACTGGGCACATGCATCTTCCCTTCAAAGGGCTTTCTCCTTGAGTTGCTCATGCATTTGTATCTTTCTGTCTTCCTGAGAGCAGGATTCTGCATAATGAAGGCAGTAATCTAACTTTTCTCCTCATTGTTTCTAAAGCTTTCATCTTTGTGAAAGCTAACTGAAGATACAGATTGAAAGGAAAAATGAGACACAGGTTTGGGGACCCAAGGACTCATCAACAGTGGTGACTTTAGCAAGAGATGCCCACTGTTGTTATGGCCAATAATCAGAATTTATTAATTTTCTTTGGGGATCATCATAGGGAACATTGTAGGGAAAATATCTTCAAGGAAAGATAGGACCATAAGTGATGGAGTGTAAGGAGCAAGTGGAATTGACCACTTCAGGGAAGGAAGTACAGAGTCCCTTCCCAAGGAACACAGGTCATTGCTGTGTTCTTTCCCTTCTACCCTTTAAGATCAATTCTCCCTGTACCACTAACTATAGGATTTGATAAGGGCCACATCCCAGTGTTTATCTTAGCTTGCATAAGGGCATGTGTATGTACAGTAAAATGTGTATTCCTGTTGTTCTCCAATAGCAGAAACTGAACTCACACTGAATTAGCATGTTCTTGGGTGACTTTGATCATGTGACGGAACTACAGACATAACTCCAATGTGAGAAATGTTCTTTTTTTTTCATTCTTTATGAAAAAAACTTAAACACTAGTGCTCCAGTGCACACTCTCTTGTAAGATCTGTCTTTGTACAGAACCAAGCACTTGTTTGTATGTATCAGTCAGTTGTGGGAGATTATGACCGGACAAATAGGTTGATTGTCCTGTTCTCAGACTGAATTGTCTTCTCTTTGTCCTAGTCACAAGGAATTAATAAACCTAGTTGGGAATGTATTTCCATCCTCCCAGCCTACAGATATAAGCGATTAATGTAAGAGTTGACCCAATTTAAGCCCAGTAGTATCTGTTCTCCTTATCTCAGCCGAAATAGGAATTAAGAAATATCCCAAATGTTGTTGCTTATCCATGGATTTGGGGGTGGGAGTGGGAAGAAACTGATGCCAAGGAGATGGGACTGGAGTAAGGAATATATATTTTTTGAGCCTACCGCAAGTTATTTCTACCGTGCTATTGTGAGTGTTGTAACATTTGAAAAACTTTTGCCATAGCTCTTTGGGACTGGTTAAAGGCGCCAGTGGTCTCTCTTGAGTAGTGTACTGTAGTGAGTTACTATGACCCACGTGGGTCTGCATCCCTTGCAAAAGACACAACCTCCAAAGTAACTGAAAAAACACTCCACCAAGTAGGTGTCTTTATGTTGCCACTCCTATTTAAATACAGACTCCGGCAGGGAGCATGTTTTTCTACACAAAATCTAGCCAACTGTGGGTATTCATATTTTAGTTGTTGAATGACTTCATGTTCTTGATGACTAAAATATGTCTTTTCCTGTATCAGTGTTGCTGATGGTTTTAATGAATATTGAAGTTCTCCTGTTGTTTCTTTGAGCCGCTATGCGCAGCAACTTAAGAGTGGCTGCAGAAGACAGCGTCTCCATGACCTAAGTGTTTTTCACCCCCTTTTCCTTTCCTACTCTCCTGCCCCACCCCCCCCAACCTGTTCCTGTTCCTGCTTTTGGCTTCTCAGTGCCCCGGCCATCTCTCCAGACGTGTACACTCCAGCTGGGAAGTTAAAAGGGCAAGGGCCAGACCAGCTCTTGTCTCCTCTCTTCCTGCCAATTGCTGCCCATTTGCTGTTTTGAACTTTGTGTAGTTATGCATCAGACTCTCTTTGCTAAAGCTTTTTGCATGCCTTCTGCTCCCAAGTCTCTGGCTGCTTCTGCACACAACCTGAACACATTGTGCCTGTTTTCTATGGTTGTGGAGAGTGAGTGAACAAGTATGTAGAGCAGTTTTCCTTATGGTATTGGTCACAGTTATTCTTGTGTCTATCTACATCTGTGTTATTCTAACAATATTCTATAATTAAAAGTGTAATTTTTAAAATCAAAAACTGAGTATTATTTTAGTAATGTAGTACCGATTCATAACATGGCTTTTCATCAGATTCATTAAAATTGGGCACAGTTGTTTTTCTACTGATGCATTTGTATAGATGTTCCTGTGGAAATTTGGGAGTACAGCGTCTTCACACATTGGTGAGCTCTCTGGATATTACTGTATTTTCAGACGATGCAAAAACCTGAACAGTTTCCTATGAAGATTAATTAGGCTGGTGGCAAAGCAACATGGAAATACTTGGTGTGAGTGACTCAGTTTTGGAGACAGAAACAAAAGTCAAAAAAAAAAAAAAAGAAAGGAAAAAGGAGAAGAGGCCATATTGATTGCTTTGAGATATTTTTGGGTATCTGTTAAGAATACTAAAACAATTTCTACTAAATTAGTGTAAGGATCCCAGAACAGAGATACGCTTAGAAACAGTCAGAGGCTCTCTATTCAAGACATAATTGCCTAAGTCTGCCTAAGGCAGTGATTATGTTCTACCAGGGTGTGGCCACAATTTTCAACTTACTTACAAGTAATTTTATCTTATGAAACCTTTTTTTTTAATGGAAAAAAACAGTTTAGACAGAGGGAGTGGAAGTGCTTTAAATTGGAGAAGAATACAAATATGAAAGAAATTGCAATTAACCCTATAGCCACGACTTGTGAAAGAGAGATTTTAAAAATTCTTTTTCTCCTTTCTTCATGTTCTGCATTTTTTATTTCTGGGAAGGAAAACTGGTTCAAGGAAAATGCCAGTTCACCTGGAGAAGCTCACCTGGAACCTTCCCTTCAGGATATTTAATATGTTAATATTTCGCCGTCATTACAACAGGCAGATTTCCTTCTGTGTGAGTTTTCTCTAGGAGGCTAGCCATTGGAAGGGCGGTGATTCCAGGCCATTAGGACACCACTGAGTCCAATGAAATGATTATTTGTTAAATGGTTCCCTTATGTTTTGAAAGTTAGTATTCCTCCTGGAAATGGAGTTCCTATGCTCTGGGAGAAATGGAGTCTTTAAAGCTTTGGTTAGATACCCATGTGTGTAGTGGAATAGCTGACTGGGCCCTGCTTATCTGTAGGAGACTTCAAGATAAAAGGTTGTTAGTGAAAGACAATTGACGAGTAAAATAGAAGAAAGTCACCCTGTAGTGACCTTAAATAGTTTCATGGCTAATCTCATTGTATCATCTGTTTTCCTAAATGCTTCATATTCAAAGTTTGTATCATTTTTCAGCTTCTCAAAGCTGCTTTTGATTTTCCCTCTGGGAGAGACTGAGGCTGAGGACATCAAAAATCTCTGAGTTTCACACCAGCCCCTGCAGCTGCCTTGTATACATCTCCACTTGGAAATTACCCAGGCAAACCCCAAACTGAATTTACCACTGTGTTCTATCACCCCTCCCCCTCTTTCTCCTATATTTCCTAACATAGTCATTGCCTAGTTATCCAAGCTAGAAACTTGCATATCATACTTGACTCCTTCTCCTTTAGCCATCTGCCCAAAATCCATAATGAAAATCAGTTAAAATAATTACTTTCAGTCATGACCATACCACCGCCTAAATATTTCTCAAAGCCATATACGTGCTCTCCTCTCTACTGCCACCACTTATCATGTGACCTTGGGCAACTTACTTAGCTTCTCTGTTCCTTGGATTTCCCATCTGTAAAATGGGGGTGATTATATGTGCCTCATAGTTATAAAGATTAAATGAAGTAATGGGGTTTAAAATATTAGCTGCAATTATTTAGACCATCAATCACCAAGCCACATCTTGCTTACTGAAACAACCTCTTAATGAGCCTCTGTTTTCAGCCATCTTCCACCTACTATTTGCTGCAGCTACAATGATCTTTCTGAAGGGCAAATCCCTTCATGCCACTCTTCTGCATAAAACCTCCCCATTCTTTCCACTGCCAGCAGCACACAGTGAACCAGCCTCTGTCAGTGTGGCTTATGAGGAGGGCATCGTGGTCTGGCCTCTGCTGCCCTCCTCAGCTTCAGGTCTCTGCACTCCCTGCACTTGCAGCACTCTCCAAGCTGCATCTCTTTTTTCACCACTCTTCTGGGCAACTCCTCCTCTTCCTTCAGGTCTCATACCTCACTTGTTCTAGGGAACCTTTTCCTTATCCCACAAGACTGGGTCAGGTGTTCCTTTTCAGTGTCCCCTGGGTTTATTCCAGTCAAACCACTTTATCCCAGTTTTGTAATTGCCTATTGACTTTCTCTTCTCTTCCATGAGACTTTAATATTCCTGAAGAAATCACTGTGTCTTGCTCACCATTGTATCTTCAGCTCCTAGCAAATGTTTGACTTAGAGTAGGCAGGCAAGAAATATTTTCTGGATAAATGATTCAGTAGGACTGGTGACCTCACTTCTGATTTGTCACCACACAAGCTATTCATAAATTCGGTGGAAACCGTAGGTATTCTGTCATTGCATATCTGGTGGGGCCCAGTGTAAGAGGAAAAAGGCACCCAGAGGCAATGTGACCTATCTAAGACACCCCCTCCCAAGGTAAAGCTGGGATAAACTCACCTGCCCCTGATGCTCCTGCACTTGATGAGTCATTGTCATCTTTGGAGGATTATCTAGGAATAGACATTATGGCAACTTTGGAGACATGTTTCACGGCAGGCTCTCAATACAGGATGCATCTTCCTCAGGTGTGTTCTCTTCAGGGCAAACCAAGCTGCACGTGTGTACCCACAGCCCTTGGTTTGGGAGGATGGACAGAACTTGGACCTGCAGCCACACATGTGGACATGAGGGCCCCCTGGAAGAGGACAAAGCCAGAGTAGGAAAAGAAGAGGGCAGACTTTCCTCAGTACTCTTGCCCCAGTCCTAGTCCTAGTGTCCAGGCATACTATCAACTGTTTCCACCAGTGACTTATACAGAGTCAGAACCTGTTATATCCAGATTTCTGAGGTGAGTAATTTGTTGGATGGCGAGTATGCTGTGAATGGAACCACAACACACAAAGAGGAGGAATCTGGGGTAAAGGATACAAGCAATTTAAGTCATTTAACAATAATTTGTTGAACACCAACAGTGTACCTGGCAGAGGACTGAGATGAGATGAAGACTCTGCCCTTGTTGAACTTATACTCTGTGGGGAAGATGGACAATAAACAAAGGCATACATAACGTCAGGAGGTAACAAGTGTAATAAAGAAAGGGTAAGGGAAGGGGAGTGAAGGGAAACTGCTATTTTAGAGAGGATGGTCAAGGAAAGCCTCTCTACAGTGGTGACATTAGAGCACAGTTCTCAATGAGTTGTCAGGATACCTGGGGGAGAGTGTTCTAAGGACTTAATTTACTGAAGAGCAAATGTAAGGTGCTGAGGCAGCGGATGGCAAACTGGAGGAACCACCACCAGGTCGAGGTGGGTGGGGCTCAGTGAGGAAGGGGGCAAATGGTGGGAGATAAAAACCATCTTTAGAGACTAGTTGTGGTGTTTGAAGAAACTGTTACATCCAAACACATGTTCATATGCCCAGCAGGTAGTTGAAAATATGAGTCCAGAGCTCAGGACCCAAAATGCACCTGTAGATGAAGAAATGGGGACAGCTGGTATGGAAATTAGTGAAAACCATGTGAAAAGGGATGGCCCTGATGGAGTGTGAGAACAGTATCAAGGATGGAATCCTGGGAACACCAATAGGTAATGATGGACAGAGGAGGGGGCCTAGGAGGAAGTATTATAGAATCCAGAGAAGAATCAGGAGAGGAGAGTCACAGAACCAAGGGCATGACACATTTCAAGATGTCCAAATGTAGTAGATGTCTACTGAGACACTGTATTTGAAATTCTGTAAATGGAGAAGCTCCATGCAAGCACTAGGTATTACATTATTGTCACTATTAATGATAATTAGAGAGCACTTGCCCCGTTCTTCTAATGGCTATTTTAAGGGTAATGAGAATTCAGTTATATACACATAGTCTATTTATAATCAATTCATACTATTTTATCACATTTTCAAAACAAAAGTTATACCGAGGGAGAGGGACTCACAATCCCTGTTTAATCTGATTTGTATAATGGTATATTTGAATATGAGTAATAATACTTATAATTCTACTGGATGTTGGTTAAAAGCTTACAGTAACCCCTCCTAAAAGATTTGCTGCATATAACTCTTTTGTCTGCCTATAGGGAAGCTTTAAAATAATTAGAACTCAATGGACAAAATGTTATGTTCAACAGTCTCCTAGAATTTGATTTCTGGAATTTAGGCAGCAGCTGCTGCCACTGCCTGTGCCTGTCTCTCTGCGGCTGCAGAGTTCAGTGTCAGTGAGTAGATGCACCAAGGTCCTGGTGGTAAGTCTCCAGGGAATCCTTCAGTTGCTAAGCAGAAAAATGTGTTAAATTCTTCCATAAGACCAAGTGTTCATCACTCTTAAGCTGAATTTAACAATCCTAATTGGACTTGAAAGTTGATTTTTGCTTTCTTGAGTTTGATTGAGGGAATGGAAGGTTGGAAAGGAGAGCTCATTTTGCTACCTTTCTTTCCCAATTTTTCCTTTTCCTTTTTTTTTTTTTAATATTCCCTCAACAGAACTCAAGGTGAGAAGAAAACTGATTTTAAAAAAAAAGGACAAGAAGAATTTCAAAATCAGGCTACCAACATCAGGTTTGGAAATATGAAGTCTTAAAAAGACAGAGGTTTAACTTTACTGGTTTTGATTTCTCTCTCCTGGCTGTGTACCATAATGATTATGAGACTGAAATTTGGAGTTACACCAGAGTTGGAGTCTCAGCTGTGACATGGGAATTAGTTTCTTCATCTGCAAAAGGGAGATGATACTTTTCGGTACCTGCCTCATATATTGTGAGCATCGAATGAGATAGCATGGTAAGTGCTTAACAAATGTTAACTAGTATTATGATGACCATATAGGTATAATCTCCATGAGACATTGTCTTTTCTAACAAAGCTACCCAAACGACTGTTGTTCCACAATGGTGATACCTTGTGAGGCCACAGTTTTGTTCTTAAA